TGCCGTTTTCAGGAGCAAGTGCGGCAGCTCGGATGGCGCTAAGAATTCACTTTGTTTGGAATTCTATTTCGACTGTGACAGTGCTTGTTATGTGCAAATTCATTTCTTCGCCAAGGAATTTATAAGCGATGGACGTGTGCAGTACGTTTCACATCGCTGAAACACTACAGGATACGAAGGCGCGCCCACCGCCGCCTCTCTCTCCGCTCTCTGAAACAATTCTTTTTACAGATTCATGCACAAGTATCCTCAGATGAAGTCTTCCGACCAGTTCTATTTCGATGTGGGGGCCGCGCAGCACTTCAACAAGTTTGAATTGGACAGCAGTGTGTATGATCTTAGCTCGGTATCGTTTCTGCACTTTTTTTTTTCAAATTTCTTGTCAAAAAAAGATGTGCTTCTTTACGACCAGCTGTCTTCCCCATAACACCTCCTTTTATATTGCTTCTCCCGCTTCCTACCACTGCCTTCCCTCTTCCCACCACGTGTTTGCTGTTCTACAGAAAAATGCTCTCTTCGGAAGGGCAATTCAGCTGCAATAAGATTTGTGTTTTCTTTTAAGGGGAAATTTCGGAAATGTCAGGGCAAGTAGTACTGTGAGCGGCGCGTCAGTTTGCTGCATCCTGTGGCTCCAAAAAAGTTCGCATAAACCGTGTTTTTTGAGATGCATTACGAAAATGGCTCGTATTTTCCAATTGTGATTGAGATCCGTGCTGTGGACTGTGGTATTGAGCAGATGCAGTCAACCATGGCTAGCATTGAGCGTGCTACCGACCAGTGTGCTTCGTTTGTTGTGAAGCCGCTACGACAGAAGCTGGTTAGTTACAACGCTGCTACCGTGGAACTGTGATTTTTAAAGAAACCTCACAGTCCTGAGGTTCTGAGATTTCTTTAAAAAATCCAATCTATTCTTTTACTTCATAATGTTGTCGAATGTAGCAGTCTTTAATCCATTTTTCGTATTATTCAGCCTACATACCTCATGCCTAGCCGCCCAAACAGCCAAACAGTCGGTTTGGAGGTCCACATGGCGGCGTAGCTATGTCGGGCTTTTGAATCCTGACCTGCATATCTCCTGTCTGAGACGTGCCTAATCATTAATTTATCAGAAAAGGACATGTTCTTCAAGCAGTGGTATTCGTTTTGTTGTGGGTGTTTTTGTTATGCCCGCATCAATTGAAGGTAGCTGATGGCGTAGTTTATCTGCTGCAAGAGATTTACGGGATCGAAAATAAGGAGCAAGATCTTGGCGATGAAAATGGCTCGGAGTGTATCATTTGCATGTCCGATATTCGGGATACAGTGATCCTTCCGTGCAGGCATTTATGCATTTGCAATGGTTGTGCGGAAACATTGAGGTATAAGGTAAGCATCATCTCCTGAACTTCATCTTACGGCCGTCCCCGTCGAATCTAGCGTTTTTCCCGCTGTTCATCGTTTATGAAGAAATGAAAAAGTCCTCTATGATAATTTTCCGTGAGTACATCCAACAGTAATTACAACGCTGTGCAAGAAAAAAAGAAACGAAATGAGGGAAAAAAGGCCTTTGAAACTGTTCCGTATGATGAAGCCAACATTACTGTTGAACTGATTGGCGTATGTCTGCCGATGTGAATATGCACGAACCGCGTTGAATAAATTTGGAGAATGAAGCAGTGCTGGGGTATCAGTGTCACTTGTGTTTTGATGTGAATCTATAAAACTAAACGTGAAAGAGCAAGAAGTGTCTGTGTGCTGAAGGAACAGGAAGTGTTACTTGTATGCCGATGTGAATGTATTTATTCATGTGAAGCCAGCAGTACTAATTTGCCCGTTACATGGATGTGAATTGTCCACGTTTTATTCTCGGGCTACAGAATCTTTCTGTCGATAATACCAGTTGCTGGAACTTCTCCAAATTATACGTGCTGATTTTCAGCTGAATAATTGTCCCATATGTCGTTCTCCGTTTCGCGCACTGCTGCAGTTGAAGACGATGCGTGTCGTGAGCACTGTCTCGATAACTGATCAGTTACCGTCTTCACAACAGACTCGCTCACAGACAAGGTGCCATACTTTTGTCAAACTCTTAACGTGCACAAGGTGAATACAAGAACTGGCAATTTCATAGTTGATTTTTCATAGTTTCAAGTTAGTACTCAGAAAATAGGATGTCTGTATACATTTAAAATGCGATCACATGTTAGGTCCCACGATACCGTACTCATCCCGGTTGCCCTATGGATGACCACTTCTGGGCCCAGCAAACATGCGTCTTCCCTGCTGCAATTTCCTGTGAAATATGAACAGTTGATTGTACATTGATCAATCCATGTCTTTGTGATTTCGCACTCATCTGGTCCACCTAACGAGCCAGAAATCCTCTTTTCCTCTGTCTAATCAATAAAATTATGCAACAGGAGAGGTGCCAACAAACTGAATAGATACATGACAAAGTAGGGACGGTACGTATTCATTAGTTTTCGAGAGCACGCAATGATTTATTGTTGGGATGTTTCAGGTACGAGACAATGACACTGGTGGAAGCATTAAATGGACCGGTAAGTCACATACAGTCCTGTGTGGTTCCCACTGCCCAACTTGGATATAATATCGACACCTGTCACGATTTTGCAACATCCCTCAATTCAAAGACTACGAGACGCTCTTCGCGGACGTCCACCGGCATACAGCAGGTTCCTGCTTCTAATAATAATAGAGTATTCAAATACTGGACATTCTTGTTTATAACTGATACCGATGAACACTGGGAAGTAATTTGTTGGTCTCTTTTGAGTTTTTACAAAATTTACCTTCCTGTTCTTCCACGAGTTTTTTTCGTGCTCATAATAGTTTGAAAGAAAGCCATACGTATAGTTTTGCTCCGCCAGGTGCTAACGCTAGGCAACCAAGGTCGAAACAGAAAGGAAGATGGGACTATTTGCATAGAAATGAAGCCAACTGATCAGTATGTCAAGGTGAGCCGTCAGTTTTCCGCACATAACCCTTCTGCGTGATCCTTGTTGTTGTTGTTTTTTTTTTTTAATCGCAAACTCAGCTGTTCCTTCTTTACAGCATTGTCCTTGTTCACTGTAGGCAAACTCCGTAGATTTCGAATTACAGGAAGAAGAGCTGTCCGGTGGATGCTCAACAAGTCGTTGTTGTCCGACTTCCCCTCCCGATATTCCATATTCACCAGTTTCTTCACACAGACGTCGTCATAAAAAGGAACGAACTTTATCACGACACGAGGATAGCAAACATCTCACAGAGGGTGATTCCAGAGAGCTAGCGAGAAGGAACTCTGACACAGCAACAGCGGACAGCCGGAATTCTTAATCACCTTGCCAAGTGTGTACGTGACTGCTGTTGCTACATACGTCTATGTTCCGCTTCATTTCTTTGGCTGCGAGGATCGAAGCTCAGAAAACATGTGAGATAATGCTCAGCGGGCGTGTGCATGGTTTGAATTTATGCATTTATAAGTTGCCTGGTGCGTATCACTACCGTTTTTCACATCCTGCATTTAAAACAACTCAGCATCGATATTCCTTGTAAAACTTTCCTGTCTTTTAATAATTGTGCTGGTTTAATACCCGTAAAAAATGCATAACGTTCAATCACAACGAATCTTTTTGATGGCATTCACAGAAGCTTGAGAGAAAAGAAGTTTTCTCGTGGAATTTAGAGTTTTACAAATCCAGTAACCAGTTATCCCCAATACTGATTGGGTGAGTGTATATGATCCGGGAACTGCGCAGCAAAACGTTTAACATCCAACTTTTGCCTTTTCTTTCCCTATCTGGCTGCACCCTCCACATTTCCTCTCGGCTTTACAAATGAGTTATTCCCTACTAGAAACTGACTTTGATGCTCTCCTGCTTCTTGTTTTTCGGGTTCTTTTGAGATCCTTAATGGCAATCATATTTTCACTGAGTTCTTCAGGATAAATTACTTTTCCGGCTGACTGCATGTATTCGAGAAGCGAACGCAAATGGTCTGTTTGCTTCATTGTTTCCGCACAGCCGACCAGAACAAACTGCCGACGAGCTCTCGTAACAGCAACATTTAATCGACGTTCATCCTTCAGAAATCCGATCCGACCTGAAAAAATTGTTTTGGAGGAACCTTCCCCAGCTAATATCCCTATTCGCTTTTTACCTGATGCTGCATCTCTCTTCTGAAGTGAAAGGAAAAATGGTGGGAATTAAAATTTTTGAAATTTTAAACAAAATGCACAAATAACGGCCGATTTCGTTTTTTGAATATCGGTCCGGAACTGTTAGCATTAGTGGAAGTGCGGGCTACATGCTAAATCAGCTCGCGGCAAGTGGCTCGATCCTTTACGTCTGTCATTTGTCCGCACGCATGACTGTTTCCTGCCTGCATGAGAACGTTATGCGACATTTAAAGGCCCCTAGAAAAATCAACGAATTGTACCTAAGTGATTTTATGGATGTGTAGGGTACCCGTAACGTCAAGCACTACTTCCTGATGTACAGTGTTTCATTGCACGCCGGCTTAATTTATCCCATTCAAGTTTTCTCACACAGAGTATCGTGCAGTGCGTTCACGCTTTGCTAAAAGCTGCCAAAAATTTTGATCGCGATGGTCGCTGTTCGGGCCGCGGCTACTGCAACACCAGTAAAAATGATTTCGTGTCGATTTTCGTGAACAGAGCAGCTGTGGAGTTGTCAAAGACGTACATACCTTCTTTATTTTTTCTGACCAGCGACATCACGACAACTTCTCTTTCCTGACCTTGAAAGGCATCCACAGTATCCACTGCATTCGTTTTCAACAACTTCCTCAAAAAGTCCACCTGTAAATTATCTTTTCAATCTAACCGAAAACGCAGCAGAGTGCGCCAGACTTGAAGCCACTGGGTATTGCTAAATTGCAGTCACACGCTCCGTACAGCTTCTCCGCAATGATATTTCTTGCACAGAGAAATACTGTGATAATAAAAGACGCAACTGTCTCAATAAGTGGTAATGATGCAAGGAACAAGTTCGTTCAATTCATAAGCTAAAACGCCGGGCTATAGACGCTACAGTCTATTCAGCCTTCCATTGGACCTGACTGGTTTTCAGTCTATTGCCACACAAATATGGCATGATGACGAGATGCGTCAAAAAGGAGAAATTTCGAGAGCACAGCCCTTCGAGATGAACAGGCTCAAAGAACTAGAGATAACTTTCAAGCCTTTCTGTATATTAGTACTAAATTCTTCTTCGGATTTGTGTCAAGGGGCATGAATGCCAAATAAACCAAGGTATGAGCAGAACGTGAAAAAAGTAGCGATAGAGTAGCTCTATTCGGGCAAAAAAGTGGCTTTTTTTTGGGATGGGTGCACTTCCTCACTGTTGGCGCTGTTATATCTGCGAAGCTTCAGAGTTTTTTCTAGAAAATGTAATTTGCTGATTCGGTATCGTTAAAATTCAAAGGAAAAAACGTCATGCTGGAAGTTCGCAGAACTTAAGAAGATGCGAGAGTTAGTCAAGTCCTAAGGCGTCGTTGCGGTCTCTTGCTTGCGATTTTTCGCTGACTTACAGTTTCAACATTACGTGAGCTACATGACCGCAAAAGCACACGATGGCGCCAATCCTTTTTCGCTAGCTAGCTTTACTGGTCTGGGACATGACCAACACTAACACGGTAACTAAGACACTTTGTTTTGTTTATTCTCGTCCTTTCCAGTTAAAAGAAAAACTAACCTGAGCAGTATAAGGAGTTATGACGCCGACGTCCTGCTTGCGCACATCGTAAGCTGCCAACCCAGACAGATATTCAGTGACTATCTCCGCTTCAACTACAAATCTTTTCTTCAATAAATGTGCCAACAACTGATGCATACAATAGCACGCACTGCATTCATTTGAAAAGGCTAACGTGTATTTGCATAGGAGTGTCCACATGCTTTTTCACTGTTGTCCGCGCTCCGGCTAGTATCAATTAGCAGCATGGGCTCATCAAACAAACTTCCTTTCGGCACTTTACTTACGTCACTAAAGCATAACAATTAAGCAATTAGAGTTAGGATTATAATCAAACTTTGAATAAGGACTGGAAGACGATCACAGAAACGCAGACTGTGCCAGGGAAGTTTCGCATAATTTAGAGATGAGGCTAAAAAAATTGGTACCTCAAAAGCTGATTAGCAATGCAATCGTTCGCTCGTAGCTGAGAACCGTAGAAATAACGAGACGGCCATCTGCAATTCCTTCACAGTCTTTTACGAACACCAAATGGCGTGAAACACCAGTGGCATACTTTTCAGCGCCAAACGCGTTGAAAAAAGCAGCAACATGTAAATGCGAAAGATGGGCAGTGACAAAGTGAATGAACTAATACTACTGTCGCAGAGCAGTGAGACAGAGCATCATCGAATATGCATTTTTGACGATTTAGAAAGCAAAACAATAAAACAGTGCATGCTACTGCAGTGAACAGAAAAACGGACGAGGATGTGGCACGCTAAATACTTTACTAACATCGTGCGGGCGCCTACCAAAACTCAGCTGGGTGTCGCCCAGCTAAGCAAAATGCACTCATTTTTGGGTAAAAAGCATTCGTTTGTAAGTTTGGTAGGACGGGCGAGGCAATCGTGATCGTGTGCAATTTTCGGCTTTTTTGCAACGGGATTCTGGAGCAAGAAAATAGTGGTGTGAGTGTTATACAAGTTGTACTCTGGTTTCTCAATCTAGAATCTCACCAAACCGGAACCTTCACATATTTGCATGTGAAGATATCAGTACTTGAAGAAATCAAAAGCAGAAAAAACACGAGTGCGCCCGCCTTCCCTTTATTTCAAAATAATTCTGAATCATTCCTGGGTTTAACAGTTTTTTCGTTGCTGCACGATCATCGTTCGTGTTTCAGTCGTTACAGCCTGGCTATGTTCCTAGCAACACTGTTTTCCATCAGTTAATGGATCTCAACTCCGTCGATTATAGGTTTATGGAGTTAAGTAAGAATGCTGAGTGGAAACTGGAAAGCACAAGCCTACCAATTTAACTCCGAACCAAATTTTTTGTTTAGCAACACAACAAATATAACCACTAATCCCTAACCCTGTCCTTAATTCCTATTTTCAAGCAAGATCTCAGCTTTTTTTTCAGTCATCATTTCAGTTCTCTTCCTTTCATTACGACCTCCTGTAGCTTAAACCAGTATTCTCGGTCCTACCGCCCACCTTTACCCCAACCTTACCATTTATGAAGTTGAAATTTCAATTCAATTCCGCTTGTGATTCGAGGAAACATACTACCAAAATCAGGACTCAACCCCGACCTCCTCTCCCCCCCCCCTTCCTCCTCCTCTTCTCTCCTCTCTTCCTCCCTCCCTCCGAGTCGAGTTTTAGCAGCTGCCATCGTGTGCTGCCGTAAGCTTTCGGCTGACGAAGAAACAGCACAGAGAAAAGAGCTTAAACCAGCATTCTCGGTCCTTTTTTAAGATTGCGAAGAATCTGGCAAAGGTGTCTTAGTACGTAACTACATCTAAACGCTTCAAGCCAGGCAATTTGGACAATAAAACGATGAAAATGCAGCACAACGTTAAATGTTTCGCAACTTATACTCACTGCATTATCACTTTGTTCATGCGATACTGCTCTGTTAACATGACTGAGGCTGATTCACCAAATTTCTTGGAAAACGTATCCATTAGCGAGCAACCGATTTCACTGCTTCCTGATATCCTGAATACATTCACTGAATAACTGTATTGGCTTATCTGATAAAACAAGGAATTTGGCTTTCACTACAAAAGTTTGGCGAAAACAAAAAAAAAAAAAAAAAACCACGCTGAGTTTCATCAGTTATAGATTGTACAGAGAAGAAAAACAACTATACTCAGTAGTTTTTATAACAGGCGGTAGCTGCCACCGATCGCCAACAATCACTGCTCTGGGAGCTAAAAGCAGCGAATACCATGCAACACATTCTAAAGTCTGCGCCGCTTCATCGATTATGGTCAAATGAGGATGAAAGCCTTGCTCACGAAGAAACCGCAATGAGGAATTTGTAAGCGTACAAGCAACCACTTCCTTCCCACTCAAAATGCTCTGCAAAATTCTGAAATCATGTTGATAATTAAAATACATATGTTTGAAAGCTTTCGAACGATGTAACAGATAAAAAATTCACCTCCATCGCTTCCAAAAACAGAAATGCCCCAACGAAAAATTTAACGGTGAAAAAATGGTTCTGAACTGACTGCTTACTGCAGATCATCTTTCTCCGGGTAGAATCAGTAGTGGAAAAGCTTGCCAACTTAGGCCTGCCTGCTGGAAAAAACAGTCACGCTACAAACACTAGAGACAGAAAGCAGCCTATTTT